TGTGAAAAGACAAATTCCTAAAGCAAGAAATTGTATAGGGCCAATAAAGTGATCTGATCTTATCTTATATAAACATATGGGCAGTGGGTTGGATAACACTTTCAAATATTTGGAGCCAGATTCTTGTTGCGTAGAAACAGTCTCACTGCCTTCCCCCCTCTCTGCCCCTTCAGCTGATCCACCTGGAGATCAAGCCTGCCATCAGGAACCAGATCATCCGGGAGCTGCAGGTGCTGCACGAGTGTAACTCCCCCTATATCGTGGGCTTCTACGGGGCCTTCTACAGCGACGGGGAGATCAGCATCTGCATGGAGCACATGGTGAGAGAGGGGCCGGGGCTGGGCGTCTGTGTTGACTGTGAGGAGCAGTGTTGCAGGCTGGGAGCTGTATGTAGCACAGAGGCAGGAGCTCCTGGGCTTGTCCTGCAGCACGGGGGGCTGGGGGCTGTGGTCTGCGCTCTGACTGTGCCCCTCTCTGCAGGATGGAGGGTCTTTGGATCAGGTGCTGAAGGAAGCGAGGAGAATCCCAGAAGAGATCCTCGGAAAAGTGAGCATAGCTGTGAGTATTCCCACTCTTGGACTAGGGCACTGCCGCAAGGTTGGGGTATACGTGTCAAAGACTAATGTTCTATAGAGAACTGTTCCACAATTAACAGTTTTAAAATGAGGAAGTCTGTTTACAGAGCAGGGGCAGAACAAGTGAACAGTTCAATGGGTAAAAAGGAAACATCTTCAGGTTTCTGGTGACGTACAAGGTTATATATGGAAGGACGCTCTCTCCTGTGCTGTGGAAACCACTCATTTCTCTTAATAGTCAGTGTTTCTTTGTGTTGCAGTAACACTGTTGTCTTGGCCACCAATGCACAGCAGTGTAAGTCTAAAAGCAAGTAAGATCACAGAGGAAATGTATAAATACAGCAGATAGCAGCATCTCTGTAAAAGCAGCCATCAGACTGACCGCTGTCTGTAAGGAGGCATTTGTTTAGTTCTTAAAAAAATTAAATTGATTTTTAAAAGCAGCCTGCTATTAAATATTTAGAAAGCGTAAGCGTTCTTTTGTCTGAAACCCTCACCTGTCCTGACCATTGTTGTCGCAGAAGTGAGCGTGTTCATTGTGTAACATCACTGAGCGTTACACTTTGAAAATGTCAGAGTTTCATGAAGCAGCAGACATGCAGCTGTGAGAGCTCTGTTCCCTTCTCTCTCCACCCCTTCTGTGCTGCAGGTCCTCAGGGGGCTGGCCTACCTCCGGGAGAAACACCAGATCATGCACAGAGGTAACGTCGCTGTGCTCGTGTCCACAGAGCATCTGCGTGTCTCTGTGTCTCTCTGCATCTCTTGCAGCTCCAGTATGAGTGTGAGCTGAGTGTCGTCCCCCCCCCACCGTCTCCCCCCCATGTCTCCGCGTCTGTCTGTCCTCCCCTCGTGTCTCCGCGTCTGTCTGTCCTCCCCCCATGTCTCCGCGTCTGTCTGTCCTCCCCGTGTTTCTGCCTGCAGGGGAGCTGGTTGGTCTCCATCTTCAGGAGCGCTCTTTCCCCAAAGACCCTTTCTCTCTGCTTCACGGCACCGACCAGTGTGGGGGGGTCTACACCTGACGACGACTGGGGGGGGTGGGGTTGCCTGCAGGCTGAGCAGAGCTGGGTGTGGTGACTCTGGGGGGGCTCCGGTGCCGAAGGGGTTACCGGGCCGTGGTGTGTGTGGCGGGGAGCGTGCCGCGCCGTCTGGAAGCCCAGGCTGTAATTACAGGCCGACTCCCGGCGCTCGCAGACATGACTGCATGGCGGCCGCACCCAGCACCCCCCTCCCCCCCCCGCCCTCCGCCCACCCCTCGCTGCTGGGGGATGGGGGGGGGCGGGGGGTGTCGCAACACCTAAAGGAGGCTTCTCAGGCTCTTCTTTCAGTCTGCCTTGACCCCTCTGCACAAATCGCACGTGCTCTTCTTCCAGGATGCCAAAATACGTTTGGTCACAGCAGCTGAATGTGTTACCGAGAGCTTGTCCTCTTGTCTCCGGCACGTCCCCCCGAGCTTTCACCACAACCACACCCCCCTCGTCCATCACGGTGCATCGAGACAAAGTCGATCAGGAAAACTGATCGCAGACGTCTGCCCTTGACAAATGTTTTGTGTGTGTGTGTCTGTGTGTGCGCGCGTGCGCCCAAATGGATTGCCCTTGCACCCGGGACTGCTAGGGCCGGGGCCCAGCTCCGGGGTGGTGCACAGACGCCCCCCCCCCGACCTCATCTGCCTCTCCCTCCCTCCTCCCACAGACGTCAAGCCCTCCAACATCCTGGTGAACTCGCGAGGGGAGATCAAGCTGTGCGACTTCGGCGTGAGCGGCCAGCTCATCGATTCCATGGCCAACTCCTTCGTGGGGACGCGCTCCTACATGTCTGTGAGTCGCCCTTCCCTGCGCTGGCTGGCTCTCGGCTGCCCTGGCAGGGGAGTGCAGATCCCAGGCCAGGGGCAGGCTCTTGCTCGGCTCCAGTCGTCGGTCGCTGCTGCTCGAGGCGCTGGGCGCTTGTGTTCCTTCCCCCTCGCCTCCCTCTCATTTTTAGCAAGGAGAAAAAAATGTTAAATGATCTCGTTGGCCGGTGGCAGCCTCCTTCCACAGTATGAGACCCAAGCTGCCGGGATCCGAAGCCAAGTTACTAGAGAGCCCCAGTCCTACAGGTTATACTGGTCTGGTGTCTTCAGCCAGAGTTTCAGAATCTGCTCAGTTGGGCTAATAAAGGCAGAAGCCGGCCGCAGTGAAGCGACCCCACCCTCCTGTCGGCCTCTCTCTCCCGCTCGGAGCGATCCAGCGTCCTGGCCGGAGACTCCGGGGGTCTGGGGGGGCACGTCGCTGTAGGTTTTGTAGCGGTTTGTCGGCAGGGGGTAAAGCCCAAATAAAAGAAAATCGTTTTCAAAATGAAAGGTAGAAGCTGCAGTGTTGTAGGAACCCGTGGGAACCATTCATTTTCTCTCGGTGTTCAGCCGTGATTTTTCTTTGCGAGATGGGTTTCGCGGAGACGTTCTGGTTAAGGGTCAGTAGGATATCGACTGTGTGTGTCTCTGGTGCTCGTTGTGTCCGTAGCCCTTGACTGGCACTGTTGTGATCTGGCGCTGCGGCGCTGCTGTGCTGGGCCTCGACAGCGTGTCCCTGGTGCTCACTGTGCCAGTAACTGCCAGCCGGCGCCGTGGCGACGCTGCGCTGGGCCGTGGCTCGACCACGGTGACCATGTTGTGTCCTGGCAGCCGGAGCGCCTGCAGGGCACGCACTACTCTGTGCAGTCGGACGTCTGGAGCATGGGCCTGTCCCTGGTGGAGCTGGCGATCGGCCGCTACCCCATCCCCCCGCCCGACGCCCGGGAGCTGGAGGTCATTTTTGGGCGGCCTGTCCTCGACGGCGCGGAAGGCGAGAAGCACAGCACCTCCCCCCGCCCCCGACCCCCGGGGCGGCCCATCAGTGGTGAGTGTCCCGTGGCAGCGCCCCGACACGGGCTGGGCTCCCAGGGCCGCCTGGAGCCCGAATCCGGCCGCTCTCTCGCCAGGAGTGCACACGTTCAGACCTCGAGTGTCTGGGCGGAATTCGAGGGGAGCCGCAGTCCCAGTTTCTCAGACCGGTTTTTAAATATCGGTGATTCAATAAATCCTAAATTTCTTTTACACATTTTGACTTCAGCAAGAGATCGTGAGCTTTGTGAAAGTATTGGAAGTCGCCATGTTGTCGCAAACTCGCATTCGAGTTCCCGCAATTGGTGATGTGAGGCCCTTCCTGCTCACTAGTCCCTGTAATGACTGATGTACTGTGATGGACGAGCAAATCAGTACAGGCTGTGCAGCAGACATTTCGCTGCAAAATTGTTCCAACGTGATCTGCATGCAGAGTTAATAAGTCGTATTTGTCAGCAACACTCTCAAAGTCGAGAGCAATATTTATATTTCTGTGCAACACGTCACTGGAAGATCCGTTGCCTCGTTCTGAATGGGAGAATATGGAGTGGCGCAGACCAGGAAATTGAGTCTGTTTTGTGATGTTTTACAACTTGCCTTGGGCATTTTACTTGCACTTATCAGCGCTGATTCTTATCGACCCCGAAGTATAAAAATAGCGCTGCAGTTCCCCTTTAAGGAGGGTGGGGGAGGGGGGCCACAGCCCTCCGCCCGGCTGATGGCACGGTTCGGGGTGACTCCGCGGCGCGCGGGACGGCGCAGGCCGGCCCCCGAGCGCGGCAGACGTCTCACCGCCGTGTCCGCGTCTCTGTCGCCGCTCCCGCAGGGCACGGGATGGAGAGCCGCCCCCCCATGGCCATCTTCGAGCTGCTGGACTACATCGTCAACGAGGTGAGGAGCCTGCCACCTCGGCGCGCCCTGCCCTCCGTCCTCCCGGTCCCCCCCCCCTCGTCCCGCCTCTTCACCTTCTGCCCGTTCTGTGTCCGCAGCCTCCGCCGAAACTGCCCTCCAGCGTCTTCACCTGCGACTTCCAGGACTTCGTCAATAAATGGTGGGTTTCCCCCGGCCGAATGTTTCTTGTTTGTGTCTGTCCTCGTGCCTCGTTCGTGAGATCTGCACTCCGTGGTCGTCTCCGAAGCTGCAGCGGGGAAAGTCAGTCCAGAGGCAGCCTGGCAGCAGAGAACGCAATGAGGCCGACGTTCCAGCGCTGAGCACCCAACTCTGAGCACGTTGTTACTTACGGAGCAGCCAGGGCGCTGGAGGGAGTCGGCTGCCAGGAACTGGCTTAACGAGTCTTGATGGATCAGTAAGATGAGGGCAGCAATCAGGATGGGCCAGATGGCTGCTTCCTTGCTTTGCTCAGTTTCTTCAGATGAATTGCAGGTTCTCACCTTGGTAGTCTTTGAGACAGAGCGGAAGCTTGTTGTCAGCGAAGAGGGGGGGCTTTGGGAAGAAGGGGGAGCCTGTGGAAAGGGCCGTGCTGTACTCACTGCTGCGTTCTGACTCTCTTTGCTTCTCAGCCTCATGAAGAACCCTTCGGAAAGAGCCGACCTGAAGATGTTGATGGTGAGAAGCGGAGGAGAGGCGACAGTCTTGGCTGCAGAGATCTGTAATCTGGGGCGCCCCTGGTCCCGCTAACAGGCCCGGGGGGGGTGACCTGGGGTGGACTGCAGTGTCCTGGGGGGAGGAAGGGGGGCCCAGTGTTTCTAGTATGGTCGCCAGAGCGGGGATCAGCTCCCCACCGAGGGGGGCTTGAGCTGTCAGTGTATTAAGCCCTGATGTCCCAGTGTTCTGGAAACGGGTCTTCTGCGATTGTGACTTGAAGGAGGAGAATGGGGCCTCGTTTTAAACTGCGAGGCGCAGAGACGATTGGTGGGGGGCACGTGTGTGGTGAGGCCCCATTCTTCCCCAGAGCTGACGCGGTGTTCCGGTTGTGTCTTGCAGAACCACACGTTCATCAAGCGCTCGGAGGTGGAGGAGGTGGACTTCGCGGGCTGGCTGTGTAAAACCATGGGCCTGAACCAGCCCAGCACCCCGACGCGCACAGCGGTCTGAGGCACCGGCGCCCCCCCGGTGTCCGTCTGTATGTCTGTCTGTACGAGTCGAGCATCTGCCACTCGCCACCTCCCCCAGCCCCCGCAACAACACACACCACGCCTCTCCCCCCCCCCCGATCCCGACCCTAAACTCCTGCTCCTTGGCAGCTGTGTGTCGCCTGTCGGCCTCCTCGGATGTCGGGAGGATTCAAGGTGGGAGGGGAGTGTGATGGTCTGCAAAGCAAAAGATATCACAAAGGAATATTTATTAGCTGTTTTTAGGGATATCGAGATAGACCCTGCGTATGTATATTTATTATGAAATAAAATAGACATTTGAAACTTTTTTTTTAGTAGCCCGATCTGTCCCCACCCAATCCGAGAACGCCCGAGTGCCACACCTCGGCCGCCACTGGGCAGACAGCACTGTTACTCGCCGAGCGCCCCGAGCACAGCCTGCCCTTCTGTGATCTGTGATCGGCTCCCCAGCCTGGAGCGTCATGACTATGGCGTTGCTGCTGGAGGGGGCGGGGCTAGGCCAGCTTGAGGGCATGTACACTCCCTCCCACACTTCCCGTCACCCCTGCCGTTTGGAGATATTTTAGACCTGTTATAGCCAATTTCTTTTTATTTAGCGATAAACATGCACCTGTTTTGTCTCTCCAGTGCTGGCTTGGGTATTAAAAATGATATAGTACGTTTTTTAAAACTCCTGCCATTTTTTTGTCACTTTTATTTGATGTCGAAGGTTTTTCTTTTAAATGCTTATCTCTTGTGCTCAGTCGGGGAAAAAAGTTACAGGAGGGTCCTATAGTGAAGTTACCACACTGACCCCTTAGGGTCCAGACAGCGCTGTAGATACAGGATGTAAACCGCAGCCCTTCGCCGAGGCGAGCAGTGCTTCACTGGAATAGCAGACCTGTGTGTTTTTACTTTTCGAAATGAGTTACTGGTACAGGTCTGGATCCGTCTGGAACTGGGCTCCCGGTCGTGTTTGCTGGTGCAGTGTGAGCAGTCTCTGCAGAGGCTGGAAGAGCACTGGGGGTGTGTCTGTCGACAGGGTTTCTAAGACTCCAGCGGGGGGGGAGGGGCGTCTCCGTGTTTATGTTTGTAAATCAATTGGAAGAGACAGGTTTCCATGGGCAGACGGGGACACCGGCAGGGTGTGAAATATTTCAACTGCTGGTTCCCGTTGTATTATTCACAGTACTGAACCAAAACTGGTATTACCCCAAACCTTGCAGAAACCACATTCTGCTGCACTGAAGGCCATGTTGAAGAGACGCTCGCTTGTTATTTTTCTCATCAGTGTGGTGGTGTCTGTGACAGGGGTTAGGGTCTCGCGGTCTCGCGTTCTCGCCACCCTCGGCCGCCTCCAGCAGTACTGAAGCCGTTACTTCAGTGGTTATGAAATTTAAGTATGTGAGGCTGTGGGACTCCTTATTACCCACTCTGATGTGTTTATTTGCAGCTGGTATCGGCAGTTAAGATGGGTAAATGTGACCGTCTGCCTGCACAGTGGCAGTAGTGTTTGGTCACGAACGGGGGTGCATGCACTCAGACTGCGTCTCATCTCGGGAGCGGGTGAGAGTCCCCTTGTGCGGCAGCGAGGTCCATTACGGGTTCTGCCCGCTGCAGGCGTGTAAGCAGATGCTGGATATTTGCAGCTTTGTTGTCTTTGTTTCAGTTGCATTTGCACGGGCGTGATGTTGGAATGCTGTTAAATGCTGCTTTTCTGCTTCGTCGTTACAACGGCGAGAGTCCGCAGCCCTCAGGACCCGCGGTGGGGCGCAGCGCCTCCTAGTGGGCTCCGGCTGCTTAGCCAGCCTACATAGACAGAGGGAGCCCCGCCCGCCGTGCCTCCTAGCGGTCTGCCCCCATTGCTTTCCGAGACCAGCGCGACTAAAAACCCTGTACAGTGTCATTGGAAAGGCCCAGTTAGATCACGTCTAATGCTGTCCCAGACCTCTCTTGTGGATAATTCGGGAGGCTCCACGCAGAGATCGCGGCCCCTGAGGTCAGGTTTTGGTTAATCAGTCACCCCTCCTCAACTGCCTCCGGTTCCACAGGTGCTCTCGCTGTGCAGCAGTGATCCAGGCTGGATCTTGGCAGCACCGTTTAAACACGCAAACATATCCACCGGCTGCACACGCTGCATAATCTTTCAGACAAGCGGAAAAAGAAGCACAGTCCTTTGAGCAGACAGAGAAGCAGTTCTCTGCCATACCCCCCCCCTCCCCCGAAAATAAAATAAAACATCTGATCGCTAATCATGCTGGAGTTTCTCCTTCTGCGTTGTCAGCTCATGGCACATCCTTCACAAATCTTCTGTGTAAAACCGTGCATCACTGCACAGTGGTTATCGATACACTTATGGGTTCATTATTTTTTTTATCTCTGTGTATTCTGGCTGAGTAAATCGTGTGGACTGAATGTATATTTAAGTGTTCTGAAAGCAAGTCGGCTCGTGAGCTGGACACGGGGCTGTGCAAGGTCAGGCTGTGGCCCCTGCCAGGCTCTCTGAAGACCACGTTCGGGAGGAGTGTCTCACAGACTGGACAGCGATGCTGTTCTGGGGATGAAGTGCATTTAGGTGACAGTTTTGTAATTGGGATTTCTTGTTTCTTGCCTCTTTTTTTTTTTTAAGAAAACAAACCAACAAAAAAAATCTCTCTTCTCTCTCTCTGTGCTTGGAAATTTGAGAAAAGGCTAAAATTGTTTGTACTGAGCATTCTGTTGATGCTAAAGGTCCTTTTTTTTTTTTTTGGAAAAAAGACTCGATTAATAAATGGCACTTTACATCGTGAGTAATATGCAACTCCTGTGTTTTTATTTTGTGGAGGAGGGGTGGGGGTGGGTGGAGCCAGGGAGGTTTAACATAGTCATGTTTTAGTACGAAAACACCACCACCTGGGATTACATGTCTGATTCCAAGAACAAACATAAATTCATCATCCCATTCAGAAAGCGCGATCAGGTGACCTTTGATGTACTTCCGCCCGGCCTGTTGGCTAGGGAGGGGCACAGGGGTCAGGAGAGGTTAGAGATCTGGTGTGTTACATGATCCAGAGGGGGAAAATAATGGAACTTGAGAAAGTTACTGCTGGAAGTACAAATAACATTAGTCATAGGGGATCTAAATAGTCATAAATGAGTAAAAGTAAAACTTGAAGCTGCTGAGTTTAAATATGTTTTATACTGCCCCTGCTGGCAGACGTAGGGCATGCATACTTAATAACCCTCTCTTTTAGTTAAAAGACATCCACAGCCAGCTGTCTCTAGAAAAAATGTTTTCATCTTCAGTATGCTTAATACTATAAATAATGGTAATAACGATCAAGACAATGCACTAATGCTTACTGCTCTGTAGCAGTGCCTAGTGTACACTCTTTGTAAGACTGTATCACCCTGCACTCACAGCTGGCAGCCCACTGGAGCCCAGCAGGTGTGAGCCTGGTCAGTACCTGGAGGGGAGACTCCTGGGAAAGCTGAGGCTGCTGCTGGAAGAGGTGTTAGTGTGGCCAGCAGGGGGCGCTCACCCTGCACTCTGTGTGAGTCCTAATGCCCCAGTATAGTGACGGGGACACTGTACTGTGAACAGGCACTGTCTTTCGGATGAGACGTAAAACCGAGGTCCTGACTCTCTGTGGTCATTAAAAATCCCGGGGTGTCTCTCGAAAAGAATAGACGTGTTACCCCAGTGTCCTGGCCAAATTTCCCCCTGGGCTTTACCCATCATGGCCTCCTAATAATCCCCATCTCTGAACTGGCTTCATCCCTCTGCTCTCCTCCCCACTGTGAGCTGGCGCATCATACAGGTGGGGGTAAACTGTGGTGGTGGAGGGGATCCCCATTACCTGTAAAGCGCTTTGAGGGGTGTGTCTAGAAAAGCTCTATGTAAGTGTGAGGAGTTATTATATTATAAGGCTTGGTATCCTTTCTGCCAGGTGCCTTTTGACTTGTACTGCCCCCTGCTGCTGGTGTGCATGTCTGTGCCTTTCACTGTGTCTTACAGTGCATGGCTGTTCTGCTCCACAGTGCCCTCTTGGGGAGTGATAAGGTATACTGCATGGCCTCACATGTTTCGACATGATCGGAAGAGCAGAAAGATTGTGCAAGGGCTGCATAGGTATCACCTTCTATCATAGTCCACACTTTGTTTACCATCTCGAGGTGTTCTGTGAACCAAAGTCCTAATCAAGTGGATAAATCGTGGAAAATGCCCATCCCACGCCCAGCAAATAGCGTAGGCCAGTGTCGAGACAAGAATCACTTTTCGGATCAATTCTGTGCTCGTTAATGAAAATGCTGTTAGCGAAGAAGGGAGGGGTTGATTTCATTGCTCTGCAGTATAGATGAAAGATGGCTAATGGAGATGCTGCATTTGTGTAGCCGATGCGCTGTATTAGTTTCTTCTTCAAGAGATGTTAAAGCTTCTGCTGTGAAAAGGCTTGGCAAATATGGGGTCTGACATGCACAGGTGGGGCGTAACAGGTGACCGCAGTGATCCTTCCGTATGGATCCAGCAGGTGTGAGTGTCGTCAAGCCTGCAGGAAAAATATCATTCACCCCACATGGCTTCTCATTTAAGTATTTCACCCATTAACAGCAACAATAATAGTAATAGCACTTAAAAGGGATGTTAATCGGCTGCATTCATATAACTATTGATGCTTCAGACATGTTGAACGAATACAGAAATGTCCTTAGACGCAAACACCACCAGTTTCTCCCCTGTCTCACGGATGACAGCAACGTGGTGTTGGCCTGTTTTAACAACTTGACCGCTAAACAGCGGCCTCGGTGTGGAGAGTCCTGGCCATCTCCCCGGCCTTCCTGGTCCCAGGGGAGAAGGCGACTGGAAGGTGCTTTCAAAAGGGTTTTGCCGGGTGTCCTAGACTTTGTTTCTGTCTCTGGACAACTGAAGACTTGTCTCTGGTGGTACGTTGAGGGTTTAGGGTGGCACAGAGTCCCCTCTCCTCGTGCGTCATATGCAGGCAGTGGGTAAAACTCAACCTCACTGGATGGTTCCTCTGTCTTCCCTTCACACGTCGTGCTGGAAGCACAGGTCGGATTTTTTTGTCCTTTAATCGTAAATAATATCTTTGCCAGTTCACAAACGCAACGTGTGAGGACAAATCCCACAATCCTCATCTCTGCAGTGCGTTGTGTGAACGTTAGGCAGAGCGCTTGACTTCTGTCCCCCTCACCTGGCTACTCGATGCTGACGCTGTGGCGCAGGGGTCTGCTCGATCGAAAGTCAAACAGAAGAAAAGGAAGAATGAGCAGAGAGAAGGCGGGGCGGCGAAAGATCAGAGGGCGCTGGCGTTGGTCAGACCCGGGACCTCCGGCGGCGCGTGGGTTTCAGGAGCAGAGGGGAGGGGGAGGTGCAGGCAGCCCCCCTGTGTCCTGGGATGGGCCGGGGCTTGCTCCTGGGGTGGGACAGTATGACCTCAGGCTGTGGGATGGGTGGGTGCGACTCGAAACTTGGAGAAAGAGAAAATAGAGAGAGAGAGAGAGAGGCAGAGAGAGGGGGGGAGAAGGACAGAACTCGAGGCAGAGAGAGCGACGTCCCACGCTGGAATCAGCTCTCAGTGCAGCCATGCTGCCCCTGCCTTTCACACGCATCTGCTAGTTGAGCAAAAGGCACGAGAAACCGATTCGAATTGAAAATTTCAGCATGAGAAAAGACTGCGCTGTTTTGCACTCGGCGGTTTTGTTTTTTTGAGCTGGTCCTGATGGCCGCCGGGCTTTTTTCCACTTGACGAAGAAGGCATCTGGCTCCAAAAAAGTAAGAAGAAAAAAGGGAAGAGGGAATGCTGTGTCTTTAAGAGAGAGGGGGAGAGAGAGAGAAAGAGAGAGAGAGAGAAAGGGAGGGACCTCTTTGCCCTCCAGAAACCAGGAAGGGAGCTTAGCTGTTCTGCTGTTTCTGCTGCTGAGCATACGGGGCTTTGATCAGCAGACAGTTCCAGAGGGCCGGAGGGAGAGCGAGCGAGGCTCCGCAGCAGCAGAGCTCGGCGACACAGCGGAGCAGCGCAGCACTCGCAGGTGAGCCCGCGCCGCCAGGGCTCGTACCCGCCGCGCCGCTGTCTCTTTAAGGCCCGCCGCCTCACAGAGGACCAGGGAGAGCAGAGGAGAGGGGGATGAGGGAGGGAGAGAGAGGGAGGGAGGAAAGCAGGCAGCCAGGCAGGAGTTGAGATCTAGTGTCTGGCTTTTCTTCAGTAAAGGAAGTTATCTTTGTCACTGTGTGCAGGGCTGGCTTATCTGTTCAGACTTTACTTTTTCTTCTCTTTTTTTTAAAATAAAAATTAAAGTTTCCTTGCTAGGGAGGGAAAACAGACCAAAAGAAAGGAAGAAAAAAAAACTGGACAAGGTACAGTAGCAGGCAACAGGAACTACTTTTTCATTTTTTTAGGAAATGACCTCGAATGTTTATGTACAGTATGGTATAGTACAGTAAGTACAGTAGATGGTGAGTTTGAGTTTTATTTTATTTCTTTGTGTGCCGATCTTTCGTGCAGACTGGATACGTGTGGTTCTAAAACAGCGTTAATTTAGGTCAGGGTGTTTTTAATCTCAAAGTCTGTGGAAAAACCTCAGTGGAAGGCTGAGCCACAGGACAGCTCCCAGGGTTCTCCTGCAGCTCGGGGAGGGCACGGAGGGGAGTGTTTATCTCCGAGACCGAGGCCTGTTTGATGGCTCGTCTGTACTTTCAGTACCTGGCATCCTGCTAGCAACATACTGTAGTATATAATTCTGCCCTGGGTGCTTACGTTGGAGTGGCTGAGGGCAGCCTGGGACACGTAGTCCACAAGGAGGGCTTTGGAGCAGGTGGAATAGTAGAGAAGAACTACGAATCCCAGGGTGCCTTGCCCTCAGACATACAGGAAAGGGAACAGTGGCTAGCCTATCCAGCCAGGGAGGTGTGGTGAGTGACAGGCCAGCTGGCCAGTAAGAGCAGGAGAGAGCCGGGTGCTGGGCTGGGGGTAGGTGTCTGGTGTGTGGGATCAGGCAGGGCTGCTGGACTAGGGCTGCTTGGAAGTTTCCTGTCTCTTAAGGCTACACAGCAGCAGGGCCCTCGCCAGACTGAGAGACAGGCGAGCAGCAGCTCAGTCGACAGGGCCTGAGAGGAGGCCATTTCGCCAGGCTGGTAAGAGCCTCACGCTGCAGACACTCCACACAGATGACACACACCACTTCCTCGTGCTGCAGGAGTTCAGCCAACAGCAAGAACAACAAAATAACAGCACCAGGGAGGGAGAGGGCGAGGGAAAACTAGCACAGGGACCCGAGAGAGACACTCACTCTGGGCTTGATGTCTTTATTCTCTCTCTCTGAGAGCAGAATAAAACCCAGTAATCCCAAAAACGGAAATTCCACAGCTAAACAGTGCCATGTGGTATATATTCGTATGTAAACTTGTATACCTGAATCAGGGCTGGAGTGGAAAAGCAAAGTAATTCGGACTGAAGAGCTTGCAGAGGCTGAACAGAAGCACAAGGATGCGTGTGAGCATGATTAGAAAAAATATCAATTCCAAGGATGTGTTTCCTGGACACGTCTGCCCTACAATCCCACACTCCTCTTCGCTCAGCTGTACGGCATGGGGATTACCGTAGCTCCTGCCGCAGGTCGGTGGCTGGGGCCGAGTCTGGCACAGGGCTACTCCAGTGCTGTCTCGGGAAGGGAGTTGGGGGGAGGGGGTGGTGGAAGTGTTGGGATACGTGTCTCCGTGGCGCCACGCCTCACCGCGTACTGCCGCTCGTGTCTCTATAACCACTGTCCAGCACGCGGGTACAGAGACCGGCTCTTGAGCAGAGGTGGGGCTGGTACAGGATCCTGTGCAGGAGAGCTGTGGTGTGTGAGTATTCCAGGCGTTGCCCTCAGCCCCCGGTGACAGACCTGCGCTGCAGGGAGGAAAGCCCTGATTCTGTTGTGTGCGCTGGAATGCCCTTCCACTTTCAGTTAGGTGTTGCTGGTTCAGTTCTCTGAGTAATTCCCACCTTGAAAGATATTTTTTTACACAGTGGCAGTTGTCAAACCAGTTTGTTTCTAATAAGGGCATAATACTGAGCAACGGCAAGAGATGAAAAAACTCACATGGCCTACAAGTTGTGCAGGGCAGGCCCGCGTGGGCGGACACCAGGTCTGTGGGCCCAGCAGGTGCTGGAGGGCCGGGCCAGGAGCTGTGGTAAAGTGTCGGTGCAGCTGGCGAAGCAGAGGTGGCGGCCGTGTTTGTGCTGCGCGGGTGTGCCACCGGGAAGCTGAGCTAGGCCAGTCTGGCAGCATTCGGCCGAAGGGCACCGCTGTGCCCCCAGGAGCGGGGAGGTGTGCGCTGAGCGCCACACCAGAAGAGCCGTGCAGTCAGGCTCCTGCAGGAGGTGAGCTGGACTCAAGAGTGGGAGTTGTTAAGCTCTTGTAAATCTCATTAATAGACCCACTGAAAAGTGTTGTGAAACCTATTCTAGGCACCACTCCGTTGTGCAACACCCTGGTCTCAGACACTGTGCAACTTCAGCGTGAGGTTAGTAACCACGGCTGGTTTGGAGGAGTGGGGTGTGCATCCCACCTCCCATCTCGCAGGCGCACGAGGGGCAGAACAGTGGTGTTTATCTTTGTTTCTCCTTTTTTCCTTGAGTTGGGGAAGAGGTTGCAGGACCTTGGTGAAGGCAATGCAGTGATTAGGGGAACCTGAAGTGGAATTTGCATTATAGCCAGTGCTAGGAGACTGCGTTTTGCAGGGATTGCAATCGAAAAAACCTTCAATCTGGACAGTGTGGAATCAGCTGATCAGCCTCCCTGTTAAAGCCACAACAGCTCCTGGTTGAAGCCAGTCTCCTCAATGTTTGACAGTGCAAGTAAAGAGAGGTGCAGTCAGGCCCCCAGAGAAAAACATGTGACACAGGCAGTTAACTGGCTTCTGCCAGCTCCTGTACTTGTAGTGTGACACTGTGAGAAGCTCCCTTATTGGGTGATGTGCCATTGGCAGTCCTACCTACTGTAGATGCAGAGTCGCTAAGCGGGTCAGAGTGGTCTGCAGTGAGTTCACGACTGCCTCCCAGTTCATCAGCTGACAACAGAGGGGTTTCTGTTACAGGCCTGCTTGCCGAACACAGACAGGATACATTCCTCCCTCGTCTTTAAAAGAAGCATCTGTCGGAGCATCGGCAGAATGGCACCAGCAGAGCAGAATTCTAAGTGCCATGAGGGCACAGAGCTAATGCTGGCTTTCCCCTATTTTTATTACTTCACATTACCGATTGCGCTGTTTGCCCGGCGCTTTTGCCAAGTAAGAAGAGACGGTGTTTAATTGTGCTCCTCATCCTCGGGAGGGAAGGCGATCTGGACCAGCAGTCTTGCGCACATGGGCTGCTCAGTGAGACAGGCAGGAGTCCGGCCGGGACAAGCAGGCCTGTCATTTGGAAGCTTGTCTCCCCACACATGGCACATCTGTGAACCCGCCTAACGACAGCCTCCAACAAGACCGAAGAGGACTGGTGCAAAACTGGAAGCCCGTTTCATTCAGAAGCACTGGCCAAAACAACTAAACGTGTCTGCCATATCTTTTTCATATTTTGGCAACTGAGGTCAAAGGAAACTGGCAATACAGGGTCTGCGAGTGTCACCCGAAGTCAGTTCAAACAAAATGCAAATTCCAAACCGATGCACAGGCCGTGGGATCGGGCAGCCTCTGCTCTGTCTCGTCCGCACTGCTTTTTAGCCCCGGTTTCGGATGCTCTTGCCCAATAGCTTTCAGAAGCCGCGCAAGCGGAAGCGCAGCTCCTGCAGCATCCTGAGCTGACCTGGGCTGCGGGCAGAGCCGCGGGGCAGCTGCTGAAAGGAAGCTTTATCAGTTTCTCTCCCTCTTCCTGCTCCGTCACCACGCTGCCAATCAGGCTTCCTCCCTCCCGAGCGCTCTCCTGGTGACTCACAGAGCGCCTTTCAATACCACGGCCACGCTGGGATTTGCAGAGAACTTCCTTCCACTCCTTTCCACCCTATTCCAGCTCCTGACGGGAATGGGCAGCCGGCCCTCTACGATCCGACCTGACCTTGACCTCTCTCGTTCGACCCCTGAGCTTCATCATCTGAACAAGGAAGAACAGCCCCTCCCGCTGCCTGCTGTTCCTCTTTTCCAGTCCCCTTCTCCCAAGACTGTAGCCTGTGGAGCTGGTCCTCAGATCCCAAAGACCATTTTAAAATCGCTTCTCTGGTTTTTTCATTTCTCCTTCTAAAAAAATGTTTTAAAGACTTTGCTTTGTCAAAAATTGTTTTTTTTTTCAAATTTAAATTTTCCTGGTACTTTCTTGTATCACTCAACTTTACCACTGACACTTACTCGAGCATTATTGTAACATGAAGCGCATCCCTCTTCCCCACTCTGGTGGTTGGTGAAACCAGCCCTAGCCCTAACCCGACTGGCACAACACAGGTACAACATCTGGAACCAGCGGGAAAGGAGGACTCACCTGGTGGCACACTTCCTACAGCACGGGCTGGAAGCGCTGGAGGCCACAGGACTGGAGAGCAACCCCAACTGGACAGAGATGGAAAGAAAGAGAAAGGAAACGGAGTGGATCAAAAGACTAGATACTACCTTTCCACAAGGCCTGAACATCAGAAAATAAACTGGGAGGGTTTCAGTCATTGGAAGGAGAGTGCAGCACTCCTTGTCCCAGATGGTCCCTTCTTAGAGAAAATCTGGGAGAAAGAGCTTTGTTCCCCTAAACTAACACTAAATACAGCCCCGATCTCGTCAGTAATCTGAGCCTGAGCCCAAGCCCCCTGTACTCCCTATAACATCAAGGGCTTCTTCATTCCACCCAAGGAAACACAACACTAAAACTCGAGTCTGTGATTTACAGCTGCTGGTGGGTCGAAGTTCTGATTTATAACTGGCTTGAGGTAACAGTCTGTGCACAGAGAGCTGTTAATGCCTGGACCTGATTCGCAAAGCCAGTCGCTTTGGGTTTAGCACAGCAGTGCCTCTCAAAACCAGGTGTCAGGGGTCCCTTATTTCGCTCCACAGGAACAGGCTCGGCTGGCAGAAGCAATGCCTGTACGCAGTAGATTCGGCTGATGTGGCCAGGGAGTGTCTGGTGGTCAGCGCTCATAAAATGCTGGACTCAGCCGGGGTTGGGAGACAAATGCTTGGGAGCGACTATATCAGTGAGCAGACCAGGCCTGCTGCTTCACGCAGGGCTGGGGCTTGTGTGCATTGATCCTGGCCCCACGACAGGGTGGGGCAGCTCATTCCTCTGCTGCTCCTCCGCAGTCTGCTCTCTGTGCTGCTCTCAGTCCAGCATGCTGCGTGAGGCACCTTGGTTCGATTCCTCTTCTCTTGGCCAATGGAGACCTTCCATGACAAATGACCAGCCTTACCTTGGTTGCTTTCATACAGAAATCATCACGGGACACTGAAAAAGACAGGGACGCTGCCGGTTTTGAGACATTGTTACTGTTTTTACTCGCTTTAGTATCCTCAAGCATATGGCTGAAAGATGCTCTAAAACACAGACTTAAATTAAGATGTTTCGGTCAGCGGAGGTCAAAGTTGCAAAGAGCTTTGCGGGTTTTGAAAACAAAATCAGGTCTTTATAGCTGCAGTCTCGCAGATGCGGTCTCTGTGACAAGGGTTTGGTTTGACTTGCAAAACAGCACCTTTGCTCCTGAAGTAGAAGGCATCAGGCTGTGAGGTCTCCACTCTGACTGAGCTGCGATAGGCTAACATCCCGTTACGGTCAGCAAACTCAACAAAACCCTTAAGAAAAGTGAGGTACAGGTAGATATGAGGTCAGGTTAATTTGGCTGTCACTCTACAGAGCGATGGAGAAGTTTCCCTTCATACTTAGCTTATGTCAGGGTGTTGTTTCCTACATAGTATTTCTGTGCTTTATAATATCTACTGGAACAGTAAAAGCATTCAGGCTTCCAATGCAAAGCAAGAGCTAGGGTATTGCATTACTGGTGCTCTCCGCAGAGCTATCACGCCATGGCAGGGCAGACATAGAGAAAGGTTTCTGCTTTTCTAATGGAGGTCTTATCTGGTAAGTCTCCTCCTGCCCTTTGACCTGTAGCTGTGAGAAATGACCCCTGAAATCTCTGCATTTCCACTGGAGTTCTATACTTGTGTTTTTCCTTTTAAATCTAGAAAGGGCTCTTTTGCAGCCTGAAAGACCTGGTGTGTCCCGGCGGGTGAGATTCAGCATATTCAAATATGGTGCCGATAGTAAAACTCTGCTTCGTCCCTCCCCGAGTCTTATCAGACGTAGGGCAAAAGAGACAGGGAAGCTTTAGCAAAGGCTGTATTGTTGGGTTTTTGCTCAAGATTAAAGAGGGCTGAAGGAAGAAGACAATAGTGTTTTGTGAAAACCATCAGGGCACAAAGTTACATCCCAGCTTGTTGGGAGCGTGAAAGGTAAACTCAAGCTTACATATGTGTGTTGCATTAAATGAATCCAGAGGATTGTTAATCAAGCCCTCGACCCATGAAAATGCATCAAGAGTTGGAATAAGTGTCAAAATGTCTCTGCTAACATAAATATGCAATTTGATTAAAAAAAGACTCATTTTCAGATGGTTGGGCTGCACTTGTTCAGATTTGACTAAATATGTATTAAAATGTAGGGTTGATCTATGAATTCTGCTCAGATCATATGGTATACTGTGGTTCCTTGTGGCCCATTCCCCAAACTGACAGGCCAGCAGGGGCAGTTTAGCATGGATGCAGAGCTGGGGAGGACAGAAAACGCCATTAGGGTCTTGCACACTACAGGAAGTTGACTCATTATTGTCACATACTGTATTTAGCTTTCTTTCGGAATGTGTTTCTCATCACTGACAGAGGAACGTAAGCCTGTCATAATGTCATCGAGTTTTAGAACGTGTCAGGCGGGCAGGGGTGTTTTTTGACATGCAGGGCTCTTCAGAAATAACCATGCAGAACATCTCCAGGCCTACAGATGTTTCTTGTGAAATATATTGAGTGTTTAATGCACATGGTATAAGCGCACACACACAGGGTGGCAGCTCCGCTGTCCATTTCCTGTGCTCTCTGAGCTGCCTGCTGGCTTGCTGACTGGCCAGCAAGACGCTGCTGCTCTGATGTGCGAATTGTGGAGGCCTCTTGGTGGTTCGCTGGCCCCCTCCCCCAGGCTGCTGTCGATTATTTTAATCTCCCCCCACACGTGAGTGAGCGGACAGCCTTCCCGAAACTTGGCAGAGACCACAGGGTGGGGTAACCGGCTCAGACCGGCTTGACAACCTCCTTTTTAATACCATCCCTGCAGCCTGCTGATCGTGTCATACTGGGGTTTTTCCACTGCCTGAACACCCCCACCCCTCGACGCTGCACTGACATCTGCACATACACACTAACGTATATCTGTACGGCCGCGATGTCTCGTTCCCCCACAAACACACACATGTGTACATGTGTACATGCTTGGCAGACCCTGCCCCTACATATCAAACACTGCCCTCGTTGACACACGGGCCAGCCCCTGCACCAACACGTGTTGCTGTTACCAAGGCATCGCTGTCGTTTCTGCTTCTTACAGAGTCTTCACACTCACAATGTAAAGTTTCACTTGCACTTCTATAGCACTTTTCCAGACACTCCACTCAGAGCTCTTTACAGGTAATGGGGATCCCCTCCACCCCCACCTGGATGATGCGCCAGTCCGCTCCCCACACACCAGCTCTCAGTGGGGAGGAGAGCAGAGTGATGAAGCCAGTTCAGAGATGGGGATTATTAGGAGGCCATGATGGGTAAAGTGCAGGGAGACATTTGACCAGGACACTGGGGTAACACCCCTACTCTTTTCGAGAGGCACTCCGGGATTTTTAATGACCACAGAGAGTCAGGATCTCGGTTTTATGTCTCATCCGAAGGACGACGCCTGTTTACAGTACAGTGTCCCCATCACTGTACTGGGGCATAAGGACCCACAGAGACTGCAGGGTGAGCGCCCCCTACTGGTCCCACTGACACCTCTTCCAGCAGCAGCCTTAGCTTTCCCAGGAGTCTCCTCTCCAGGTACTGGCCAGGCTCACAGCTGCTGGGCTCCAGTGGGCTGCCAGCTGGGAGCTGCAGGGTGACAGAGCCGCTGGCCTTGCCTGGGTCGGCGCTCCGAGGCGTGCAGGAGAAAGGCTCTCACCCTGACTGGGCCCTGCTTCTCTCTCAGACAGGTGGACGGGCGGACGGGCAGCAGGACAGCAGGACGGACGCGCGGGGAGCTGCGATCGGCGGCTCGGCGGCAGGCTGGTGGAAGATGTCGTCGGGCGCCGGTGGGGGGGCGGCGGGGGCGGCGGAGGGCCCGGTGGGCATCCCGTTCCCAGAGCACAGCGCGGACATGCTGGGCGGGCTGAACGAGCAGCGGCTGAGCGGCCTGCTGTGCGACGTGCTGCTGGTGACGCAGGGCCGCGAGTTCCCCGCCCACCGCTCCGTGCTCGCCGCCTGCAGCTCCTACTTCCACAAGCTCTTCACCTCGGGGGCCGCGGCCGACCGCCAGAGCGTCTACACCATCGACTTCGTGTGCGCCGAGGCCCTGGCCGCCCTGCTGGACTTCGCCTACACCGCCACGCTCACCGTGAGCCGCGCCAGCGTGGGCGACATCCTGAGCGCCGCGTGCCTGCTGGAGATCTCCCCCGTGCGCGACGTCTGCACGCACCTGCTGGACACCAAAGTGCTCTCCCCTCCGGTGCGCCGCCTCCTGCTGCCGCAGAGCCACACAGCACTCTCGGGGACACCCCTGCGCCCCCTCGCCGGGGTCCTCCACAAGTGTATGCGCTTCGGCACCCCGAGCCCGTGGTGCCAGTTAGCCTACTGTAACAAGGGCAGCCCACAGGAAGGGGAGAGATGGCAGTTCTCTTTAACACGATAAGAGACGGGGCAGCACGGGGGTGCAGTGAGTAGCATTGCGGCCTTGCAGAGCTGGGGCCCTGGGTTCGATTTCGGGGGTGCTGCCTGCGTGGAGTTTGTATGTTCTCCCCGTGTTTGCATGGGTTTCCTCCATGCGCTCCGGTTTCCTCCCGCAGCCCAAAGACATACTGGTAGGTAAATTGGTTCCTGGGAAAATCGGCCCTAGGTGTGTGTGTGTGTTTGTGTGTGTCTGTCCTGCGACGGACTGGAGTCCCGTCCAGGGGGTACCCTGCCTTGCGTCCGCTGTTTGCCAGGATAGGCTCCGGCTCCCCCGCGACCCTGAATTGGATGACGCGTTCAGAAGGCGGATGAATGGATGATTGGAGGCTCTGAGGAAGACATGGTAGCTTATGTGATTCTTGTCCAGAAACTTGTTTCCGCGAGCGCTAGAGGCAGCGGTGATTTTGAACGCAAGGGTTGGTTTGGAAATGGACCACCTGTTGATGAACTCCCTTCATTCTTGTGGGCTGTCCACTTCATAAGACTGAAAGAATGAAGCACTCTCCATTAAAAGATGCTGGTTTAAGAGCACTCGTAGCAACATGATAATGTACTGTGGAATGTTCCACACTACTTTATGCCCGTAGTCACTAGTGGAGAACCCTCCTTCCCTTCATGTTTTACATTGCTCTACTGGAGCTTTTTCTGAGTCTGGCTTCTCCCTCTGTCCGGGCCGAAAGCCCTGGGACAGGCGCCTGCGCAGTGCTTGTGAGTGACGCCCGGCTCTTGTTCTGTGGCAGGTGGCGAGCAGGCAGCCTCAGGACGAGGAGGACCAGGGGAGGCTGGAGGGAGGAGAACTCAGCGACCCGGCCGAGAGGGGGAACCGGCTGCGGGCCCGCGAGTACCTGGAGTTCTTCCAGAACCACGGGTCCCACTGGAGCAGCAGCTGCAGCACGCCGGAGCTCAGGGACCTGCAGCCCTACCTGCACTTTAACCCCAACGGGGCCGAGAGCAACGGCACGCCGGCTGCCCCGGCCCCCAGCGGATACTACTCCCCGCTGGGCCTCGCCCTGGGCCAGCCGCCCTCCGTCGGGCCCGCGAACCCGGAGGAAGACGAGGAGGAGGAGGAGGAGGACGGGGACGAGGACAGGGGCCGGGTGGACGGGGGGCAGGCCGAGGCGGGGGGCCTGCTGGCCTGGATGGAGGCCGGGGGCAACGGCGGGGGGACCGTCCAGGCCTTTTACGCCTCTAAGAACGGACACTACGGCGGGCCTTACTTCCAGCAGGAGCCGAAGCTGGAGCGGGAGGGGGACCGGGAGCGGGACGGGCTGTCGGCCAGCGCCCTGCTCCAGCAGATGATGGACTCCCTCGGGCGGCAGAAGGAGCGGCCGGCGGCCGGGGAGGAGGTGGACGGCGAGGAGCCCGGCGTGGAGTTTTTCCTCAACTACTTCAACAGCGCGCAGCACGAGGAGGCGGCCGCCCAGCAGGGCCTCCTGCCCGTGTGGGCGCAGCGGGGCCCGGGCGGCGCGGCCGGGGGCGCCGGCGGGGAGAAGAAGATGCGCTCGAAGGCGTTCCAGAAGTGTCCGATCTGCTCCAAGGTGATCCAGGGCGCGGGGAAGCTGCCGCGGCACATCCGCACGCACACGGGGGAGAAGCCCTACGAGTGCGCCATCTGCAAAGTGCGCTTCACCAGGTGAGTCCCCCTCCGGCAGCACCTGCAGCACCTGTCCGCGTGTCGCCTGCGCGGCTCGATCCAGGGTCCAGCACCACTTCTGCCTGATCGGTACTTCGCAACATGTACTGACGTATAAGAAAACAATTAGGTGACAAAAAAACCTAAATTATCTGGCACTTACAAAAAAAAAAAGAGGCTTCTTGTGCCTGTGATGTCATTTAAGCCTGGGGACCCATCTGACCTCGGCACACTCGGGAACCCCACTGTCTCCAGACGGATCTCTGCTTCAGGAAATAAGCTGCTCAGATGAGCTACAGTACAAAAGGAGGCAGAAATAAAAATGAAAGGCCTCCCAAATTAATGAGAACAAGCAGGGATTGAAACCTCTAAAGATATTTTCTACATACAAATTTGGATTGAAAGTCCAAACAAAGACCCCGCTCCAAGAATATGATATTTAGACACATCTTGTTACACATGGCGTATATGGACCAGAACTCAATAAAACAACTGCAGATTGTAGTTTCATCTGCAGAAAAATGATTTTAAATTGTGACTTGGAAACTGTTTCAGAGGCCGCAGACTTTTTCATGATAACATTAACTCTGTTGAGGAGGGCAGGTAGCTGTAAAGATGACCTGTATCTTTTAGAAGGTTCACCTGAGGTAAAAGGAATGGAGTAGGACAATTTGCACAGGGCATTGATTTGTCAAGCTGTGGCAGTGCCTTTCCTCTCATGGTAAAGAAACTTTGCAACCTGAGCTCCAATATGGAGCTGTCTCGAGACTGGCCTACGCAGAGCACTAGGAGATAAGCTAGAGAGATAAGCTATAGAGGGAGAAGGGAGAGGCCGGAGTTACATGCAGGTGTAGGGAGAGCTGGCCTTCCTTATCGACTGTCTCAGTGCCCAGGGGAGCTCTAGCAAACAGCACTAGGGGTTGTCTAGAGGCTGTGAGCAGCCTCATCTGCTTTTAATGTTTTTTAAAGTCATCACATCACTTTCAGTAACAACTTATCCAGCACAGACGTGTGGACGAGCTGGAGTCTGTCCCAGGGAAGCACTGGGTGCGAGGCAGGGCACCCCCTGGGCGGGTCGCCAGTCCATCGCAGGGCACTCACACACCCACAGCAGGGCCAGTTCTCCCAGAAGCCAGTTCGCCTACCAGCATGTCTCTGTGCTGTGGGAGGAGTGCACCTGCGGAGGACGTACAGACTCCACACAGATAGAACCCCGGAGGAGTGCACCTGCGGAGGACGTACAGACTCCACACAGATAGAACCCCGGGTCCAGAATCGAACCCGGGGCCCCAGCGCTGTGAGGCAGAAAAGTTGTCCCTTTCAAGCATGGAGGAAAGTTGAATTCAGGCCGTATTTTGTATTTGATTTCTGTAAGGTTGGGGCGCAGTGAGCTTGTGGGAGGTTTCCGTATTCTCCCCCGGTTTGTCCCTCTCCCTGCTCTCCGCCGCGGTCGCCGTCTCCCCCCTGCCCCGCAGCCGGCTGAAGCCTCTTCTTGTGCTGCCCCTCTCCGCAGGCAGGACAAGCTCAAGGTTCACATGCGGAAGCACACGGGCGAGAAGCCGTACCTGTGCACGCAGTGCGGGGCGGCGTTCGCGCACAACTACGACCTGAAGAACCACATGCGCGTGCACACGGGCCTGCGGCCCTACCAGTGCTCCAGCTGCTTCAAAACTTTCGTGCGCTCCGACCACCTGCACCGCCACCTCAAGAAGGGCGGCTGCAACGGCATCCCCTCGCGGCGGGGGCGCAAGCCGCGGGTGCGAGACCCCGCCCTGCTGGAGGCCATGAGCGCCGGGCTGGGCGCCGCCGCCGTCTGCCAGCCCCACCGCAGCAGCAGGGAGAGGCGGCGTCTGGAGGCGGCGGCGGTGGCGGCGGCGGCGGCGGCGGCAGCAGAGGAGGAGGAGGAGGAGGAGGAGGAGCCCAGGAGCCCTGCAGATGGCGCTGCCGAAACCCCACGGCAGCAGGCCGGCCCGCTGGGGCCGTGACTGAGACGCCCGCTGCCCCCGAGACAGAGACAGAGCGGGAGGACGCCGGGAGAGAGGAGGACGGGGTAATGCGATCGAGTAACAGAAAAAAAAAAAGACTCTTCTATAAACCAAATCAGGGTGTCACAAAATCTAATCTAAAGTTTCTCTTTCCATTGCTTTGTTTGCAGGAAGGCCACAGCCCAGGGTGGTGGTCTATTAAAAGAATAAGGGATGTTAAAGTGATTCACGCAGCCTCCTCCTTTCTGGGGAATTCGGAATACGTGCTGGCTCCCCTGCCCCTGAGCCGCAGGGCGCGCGTGGCCTTCTTCCGTAGGGGCTGCTGTGCAGCTGAGAGGGTGGTTATCAGCCCCGTCCGCTCTGTGGGCGTTAAAGATCCCAGCGCGGCCTTGTCGAGAATGAGAAAGAAGTGGCAGCTGGCTAAATCCACGCAGGTCAGCGAAACGGCTGGCCTGGCTCACTTTAAAGCTTCTCGGGTTTCGTTCTGCTTTTAAAAATTTCGAAAAAGAAAAGGGGAGCTCCCGCAGCAGAATTTCCTGTCCACCTAGAAAGACAGCAGATTGCGCTGACAGCCGCCGACGTGCTTTATCCCAGGCAGCCATCACAGGAAAACCCGCCTTGCCAGCTATCGTCACAATTTAATTTTCCATATACGATCGTGTAAAAAAAAATCAGTTTAAAACACTGATGCAAAGGCTGACGCAAGTATTTTGCTAGATATTCCAGAAAGGACCAGGCAGAACACACGTTTAGTGTCTCTTATTCTTTTAAAAAAAACTATTTTGGTGAGAGTCAAATCCACAACTGCGGGGACTCCACTGAATCCAGGGATTAGCAGGGGTGGTTCTGTGTTTCTCAAGCACTACCAGCCTCCTTCCAGCAGGAGGGGGTATTGCACTGAACCTCCCCTTCAAATCCCACCCATCTCTGTCAGCTATGTTGTGTTCTGTTTCTGATTTGTCTTAATTATTTTGTTGTTTGTTCCTTTTACATTCACTGCCTTGGGTACTTGACACATTACAATGTATATCAGGTGCTCAGAAGGTTGGCCCCTTTAAGTAGCAGGACACCACAACAGCCCATAGTGTTAAAGGGGGAGTGCTGACGTTTCCACTCAGCGTGTCACACAGTTGTAAGTCTATGGTAGCCCCGTGACATAATTAGGTGACTAAGTGTGTATGACACTCCAGTGGCTAAAACTACAGTTTCTCATTCGCCCGCGCTGGAGGAGTAGCAGTGATCCCACCTGGAGACTCACTGGTGCGCAGTGCTTTCACACAGACGAGGGGGGCCGGCTTTCTGATCAGCTGGCACGGGCAGGGCAGTGGGTCTGAAAGAAGAGTAGAAAAGAATAAGATAAGCACCTTTTATAAATTTGCACATCTTCTATGAATATGATTTTGTATATTTAAAGACGGAAAGAGAGAAATATCAGCGAGCGAGGCCGGTATGAGAATGTTTTGCCCTGGGGACCATGAGATGTTGAAGAAGCCTGTGCAATGGAGAAAGCAATAAGTACCTGTGCAGCCGGTATGGCCAAGCAGGGGCACAGCTGCCCATGCTGGGAGGGGCCGCGCTCACCACGACTGTTATTTGCATTCCAAGATTTTTTTCGGAAGTATTCCAACACAGCCACCTCTGGTAGAAAATAACGGAAACAAATCAGATCTCCTTCAGCGAATTAGATCGGCCCGTGACCTCCAATGCAGTTCCCAGAGTCTAAAACCCACCCTGTGGGCCTGAGCTGGCCCAGGCCTTTCAGAGGACGGCCCCCCTTTGAAATGATATGAAACTGAAGGGAGCTCTCTGTTTCTCCCTTCTGAAAGCCGGGAGTGTACCGGGAGTAAAACCCCAGACTGTCCAGGTGAGGGGCCTTTGTCACTCCCATGGCCGGCGGGGGTGCTGAGATGCACCCTAGAAGCAGCCCAGCTGCGTACTGCTGCCTCCCACAGCCCCACACCGGCTTTGATGAAAACACTAATGTTTCACGTCCACAGACACGCTAATAATCACGCTTCTGGGACACGGGCAGTCCAGGCTCTGGAGTTCACCAAGGCCTCTAAAAGCACTGCAGAGTAAATAAATCCAGATCAATGTCAACTATCAGCTTGCTTCTAAGAAGCACCACAAGCAAAGATCTGTCATTGGCTGGGATAGGATCCAATGTGGGTTAAAAAAGCAAAATGTTCAAACAAAACCCTGCACTGTCTGCACCATATGGAGCTATAGACGAGGACTGTCCTAGGGGCCACTCATCTTTACCTCATCATTTAGTTTCATTTATTTAGACTAATTGGTATGAATTGAGAGCTGTGGCCCAGACTGAAGGTGCTCTGCACCTGTGGAGAGTCTCCCACTGTGCGGGACAGGAGCCCAACCCCAGCATGAGCAACTGTGGCGCCAGATTCAGCTCTTCGCACCTTATCAGGAAGAAGCAGGTTCTGAATGCACTTTGTTACTGAAAAGGGCACTTTTGTCAAAGAAACGGGTACTTTAAAAACATAACTGGTGACGCTTTTTATTTTGTTGTTTTTTTTTTCCAGTTTTCAGTCCTGTCAACAGGCTGCCAAAAAAAAAAGAAAGAAAAAATATTGTACACAGATCTCCTGAAGAGATGTCACAGGGAACAGGCAGTTTAAGAAACGGACGCGTTAGGTTTTGTGACCTAAAAAACACTTGTAAAAAAAATCCCCTCCGAACTGATTGCACTTGAAGTTCGATATTGGAAATGCGAGTCATCCTTATTGATGTCTTAACGCAGCGCCGGGGTCTCAGCACTTAGGGGCAGCAGACTGAGTGTGGCACAGTTTGCAGGGCAAGCAGGGCTGGCAAACTTCTACAAAAGATTCCTTTGCTCCGACAAGCCCCAGGTAACACAGGGGAACACAAGAGCTCGCACGAGCTAGCAAAAGTAGTTCTTTCACAGTGAAAGGATGACACATCTGCATTGCTGGCTTGTGGAAAAGCACAAAAGATTGTGCTGCAAAGCTCCATTATACAGCTCTTTTATCCACGTTCAAGAACAGCTAAAGCGCCTCTCTATGGCCGGTGCTCGTGACACTGCTCTCTTCTCTCGGTATCTGGGACGATACGCATTTCTTCTGCTAGAGTTTAATATCAGCTGCTCAGGGTGGAAATAAACTCAAGGCAGATGTCCGGGATGGGAAAGGCTATTCTACCCTGGCTCTGACATCACCAATTCTAGCTCTGCTGGGTATAACATCCAGGTCAAATATATTGCGGCACCCCTGCCCTGCGGCCAGGCGAGAGCACGGTAGCTCCTGTGGGCTGCTCACACTGACTCACCGTCTGTCTGAACCTGCCAGTGATGTAATCATGTAGCCGTGGCATCAGCTGTTATGGTTCCAGTTTCACACATGGCACATCATTTCTTTTCAGAGAGTAACAGCAACAACAACAGCGCGCAAAGTTGGTCATTGCTGTTGCAATTAATTACACGGTATTAAGTGTGGTTTGTTGTTACTAAATTAGCCACAGCTATGTTGGGCTTTGGATCTATGCATCACTGCTGAATAATTATACACCCATCGAGCTTATCCTCCATGTATGTTGTCACACATATTAGTAGCTGTTCCACCCAGATTAGAAAAAACTGGGCTACAGTCCGTCCCAAAATTACATCTTAAACACAGGCTTGTTGTAAAGAAGTTTAACTCAAACAATCTTCCTGTTATTAGCTTTACATCAGGCTCCATCATTTCTATTTTTGATTGCCTTTCGCGGATGCAGCTTCCTAACTGAAACATCAGGGCCGGCTGTCAATGGGAGTGGAGATCGGCTGTGTCACGGAGCACGAAGTGGGCTGTAGTCCTTGTAAGTGGTATAGGAGCTCGTGGTTGAGAGCTTTGCCTGGCTGTGCAGCTACCCGAGCCACACGAGCTTGTCTAAACCTAAGATGAAGAAGCGAGGTGCTGTCTTAATGCCAGCCCACTTCTTACGAACAGTATCAGCTGTGTGTGTGTGTGTGTACATTTCTGTGTACACTGCGCTGGCTACCCCTAACAATGCCACACCCAGACGCGCTGCCTCCTTGTTACGTATGCAATGACTTGTGTGGAATCATAAGTAATTTACTTGAGGTTTTTCTTTTTTTGTAACTGTAGTATCGATTAATTTTGTAGGTTAATAGAGCTTCTTTTATGTTGTTGTAATTTTCTTTGAAAAGGGGACGCTACGGCTTCTTAAGTGGGTGTTTCTCTCTACAGTATGGTTAGGGATCTGTGTGTGTGGGATGGGTGGGGGTGGGATGTGCTTTGGGTAGGGGGGTTTCGGGGCGGGGGGGGGTCGGGGGTAAGCCTGATAGCACTGGAAATGGTGCTTTAGCTGAGACAGCAAGAGTTTGCACTAAAATAATATCCACGTCCTGTGGCAGCAGGGCTGGGGAGCACCAGCAGCGCAGAGTCCCCACCACCACACAGCATGAAATACCCCCAGACAAGCCAGCAGAGGGAGACAGAGTTCTTCATTACTGCAGATCTGCTCCGTAATCTTGCAAAGAAGGATTTTGGTGTCTGTGCTGTTCAGATTGACTTGTCATCACAGAAAAAGCCAGTCTTTTTGTACTTTTTGAGTCCACTTTAATACTTTTATAACTTAATTTTAAATTCTCAGTTTAAAAAGATTTTGATACCTTTAAGACCAACTATAAAAAAAAAGATGATGAACCTTCTGCGATCATTATGTCAGCCCTATAAGTGCATGCAACTTTTATAGCTGTTTCGTGTGTTAATGGCACAAACACGCAGCTACCTGCAGTGTCAGATGTTAATCAAAATGATAAAGGATCTTTGAAGCTGCATGTTGCACAAAAACAGCTAAACAAAACTCACATTCATTGCAAGCAATAAAAATGATAATCTAATTCAGGATTAAAGATGAACAGGAATAGTGGACATCAAGGCACTGTGCTGCAGTTTAGCGCTGATCAGAGCAGTAGAATTCCTCTCTCCTGTGACGTTGTGACACAGAGGAGGGCAAGAGCCATACTCAAGAGCCAAGATAGCATTACTTGTGCAAATAAAGCCATCAGTCCACCTCTGTTCAGGAGTTTGCCCTGGTAACGTGCTCAGGCATGGCTGAAGCCCAGCGGAGAGGCGGGGTGGCTAGGTGTGTGTGGGGACTCTGACCCTGTCTGGGGTTCTGCTTTGTACAAGGGGTCCAAGAGGAGACTGGGACTGGGGGGTCAGCGAAGGGGGAGAAGGACAATGTGCCTTAAAACTGGGAACAAAGGGGAAATGGAAAAGCGACAGCAGTGGACTCATAGCTCTCAACTGCTCTGGAGCCTGCAGTGCAAAACAAAACCGTTCAAGTACTGTTCAATTCACTAGGACATTTAATAACTAGATTACAAAAACAGTACATGAGAATGGAGTCCATAACGTTCACCTTATCGAAATGCAGTGTGTACAGATGCAGAATATGACTGGATTGGCAGTATTGTGTTCTGTAGTTCCAGCAAGAGAGATTTATAGAGCGGTGCTCTCCACTCTGCAGTCCGCAGTGTACTTTCAGAGCACTGTGTGTTGAAAACACTTGAACATCACCCTCACTTTCTTTAAGGGGTTTAGCTCTTGTTCTTTACTTGCCATTGTTGTTGTATTTCACTTACAAATATTTCCACAATAGTTGTGTGGAAGGCGGTTTGTGTCATATTACGAGGTACTAGCAACAACAACACTAGCAAACGAAATGCACAAGAAGAAGAAAAAGGAAAAGTTGTCAGTTGAGGGAACAATACTGCCACCTGAAAGGGCCCGAGTTCTCTGAGGTGCTGTGCTTTCCCCTGTTCCCAGTTCTAACTCACCAGTTCAGCCTGCTTGCCCAGTCAGCCCCCAGTACTGGTCCGAGTGTGACGCTGCTGCCCCAGCCCCAGTCCCATTGCTCTTATAGACGCTACACTAGGATGTGTCTCAGAAGTCA